TGAACCAACGCATGACAGCATCTTAAGTAGAGTGTTCAAAAAGACATAGATCGTTATGCAATGGGAAAAGCAATGACGGCAAAATATCAAGTGAGCTGCCGACCTGACATTCACTTGATATTTAGCCGTCATTTTTGGGAAAAAGCATGTCTGTATATTCTCGAATGGAGTTTCCTTGGGAGTATGAGAATGAGATAGAAGTCTCTATCAACTTGTTTGGAATCATTCGTTCATTTGTTCGGAATCGTCCTCATTCCTGGAATAGTGATTTGTGACTGTAACTTATTGAGAAATTCAGAAACCTATATATCAATGAATATAATACTAATTACTGAAAAAATTAGTGTATGTCTTTATAGCTATCCACCCGCGACCCACACTGAACATATAATAATAATAATGGTGCTGCCCTTGGCTAACAGGGAGAATCTGACCATTATATAGATCCTTCACCTATGTGTACCATCAATAACAAAAAATAAAATATATCAAGGTATAAGAAACATACTTGAACAGTTTCCGACCATTTTTGAGCAGAATAATGAAATGTCCTCCTGTCAGAAGATCGTTTCTGAAATGTATATATGGAAGAAAATGTGGGATACTGAGCAAAATATACTAGACAATGGTATAACTGCCCTGAAGGAATGTAACACACATTTGTTTCCTATCATGAACATTCTTCTGGAACTATTATGTTGCCTGTCTGTATATAGGTGTTGCATCTTCTGAAAGGAGTTTTACAGCACTCAGAAGGCTGGAAGATTGAATAAGATCCAGAATGGTTCAAGATAGGTTAAATGTCTGAATGTTGATGATATCATCCAAAGATACGCTAGTCAGAATAATAGAAGACTGGAATTTGTTATTTAGTTTTCGAAATCAGATCACTTATTTCATATATATATTTTTATATTTGCCTGTTCCATTTCTTTTGTTTTCAAAAAGGAATATTATTTTTTACTTTTGTACCCAAGTATTTCAAAATAACTATTTTTCATTCACTTTTTTCATCCAATATGATTTATTGCAGAATTATACATATATTGATGTATCAAATCTTTTCTTTTTTGGTATATATCCACGTGCACACAGCCCAGCAACCCTCACTTAAATCGAATAGTTTGAACTTGTTTTTTTACACCACTAATTTCGATACTTGAAAGGAAACTTAAGTTTTCATGTACACTAGTATCAATTTTTGAATGGAAAATCATTTGTCTCAGAAGGTAACCATATAAATTCTCTTCCGTGCTAACATTATTGAGCCGTGACTTTCTATGCCCCCTCCTCAAACATCGTCTGGATCCGCCCCTGTCTCATATCCATGAAAAGTAACAGATTTCACACGTTTGTCTATAGGTATTTTATTAAATTTTTAAGGATTTTTTCAAATCAATCCTCGTCTCAATGAACAGACACGCTTCGACTGCATAAAAGTTTTTCATTCATCAAATTTCGTTTAGTTATTTGGATGTTATTTCCTACCTTTCTTGAATTTTGAGAACAACTTCACTATCAATTCCAATTTAGTTGCAATTTCTACAGTCAGCTTATCGACTTCGCATTGCTATTAGTTCAACCCACTTGCACACTCATAGTTCGATTTTCCTTCTCTCACCTACTTGTCATCTGTTATTCTAACATTTTGACACTTCGATAATTGAAGTTTCCCAGTCGCTATCTTGAAATTCTTTTTTCTACAAGCGTGCGTGATTCACCCTATACCCGCACGCAATTTAGTTTGGGAAGTGTCATTTTCCCGCAACAGTACGGGAAAATTTTCCCACACTAGTGCGGGAAATTTTTTCCCGCACTAGTGCGGGAAAACAAAGATATGATATAATCGCTAGTAATATAAGTGGTTGGTGATGGAATATGAAAGTTTAAGATTGTTTTGTTGCAGTATTGAGTATGTATGTTCAGAATCATCCATCAAATTGCACTATTTATTGTAAAAATTAAGAAATATTGAGAAATAAAAATAGATAATTATAAAAATCCCCCTATAGATTTGGATTGATCTGACGGGAAACGTCAATTTGTCATGCCAATCAAACCTCAAATAAGTTTGAAATTGTCGAAGTGACAGACACAGCGTTACTGTCATTTTCGATTCAGTGGAAATGCCACAATGTGATCAAAAACTTCTAATAGCTATAGGGATTTGATACAGATGCCTTAATATCACCAACGAAGTCTTAAGAAAGGTATGAGAAGCTATACACGCGTTTAATTGAATGGTGCAACAATAAAGAAATGAAAAAACCGAATGAAGAATAGGTATTTTTGGCTCATTCCATAGAAGTGTCTGGAACCAAGAAACCAAACTCCTAATGGGCCTGCTGGCTTTCGCAATGAACCAACATAATGCTTCAAACTGTAAGTTCACAATAGCTATTACTGATAATCAATAGATAGAGAATATATATCTCTTGTTAGTTGTTCCTATTTGCTTGAATAATTAATTGAACGATACAATCAATTTCCTACGCTTGTAGAAAAAATATTGTTCCTAACTCATGCGGAAAGTGTCTTTCCCGCACTCGACTGCTTGCCCGAACTCCGCTTCGCGTCGTTCGTGTCAACGGCAGTCACGTGCGGGAAAGAATCACTTTCCGCACTTGTTAGGAAAATTACTATTCTGTCAAGTTCACTTCGAAATATAGTATTAATGTTGAAAAGGAATATTCTCAGATAAATTATGAACATACAAAAATGGATATATATTTATATAAAGCAATACATTGAGAATTCGCATTCTCTATGTGATGAGAATATTCACTCTTCTTCAGTTTATTCAATAGAAAACAACCACTTTCCTGGCTATATGCCACGACGAACAATGGATTATATCTATTGAACACACATCACACGATAAGAGTTTGAAAATAAAATATAAAAACTTCTGAAATTGAGAATTTGCATTCTCCTTCAGACAAAAATATGTATATGCACACATCATACTGAATATTCAACAGAAAACAACTACTTTCCTGGCTATTTGCCACGTCGAACATTGAATTATATCTGATGTTCTGATGAACATACAAAAATAGAACATGAAAAATAAAGGATAAAATCCTCCGAAATTGAGAATTGACATTCTTCTTCAAATCGGATGAATAATATGATGAAAAATGATATAGAAATATACCTTACCAATATATTCAGCATTGAAATGAAAATTGGAATGTATAGGAGAAGTATACTGGCATAAACTCTGATCTCGATGAGCTTGAAAACTTCCAAAAAATAATCATTCATATCAGTGATATGGGAAATATTATCTCTCACACATAGGTTATATGACTTTATTGCAATGAAACCATTTAGGATTTCTGAATCCTCATCAGTAACCATGATGCCCACTAGATTCGTGATAGAGTCTCAATTCAGAATTTCTTTCCACGCCCTGTATGATGAATGTCAATTTATCATACACCCAAAAGCAAAAACGCCCAAATGACAGGAATAGTATTAATGTTTCAATTTCTTTATCCCAAGTTCCAATTTATTCAGTTGACCTGTTCAAAAAATGAAAGGAGGGGGACATTAAAGAAACGCACTGTATGGTAGGTTTTTGTGTAGGCAATTCAGGGAAACCGTGTATATTAACAAAATGTATAAAACAGTTAATGAGACTCACACCCAGGAAGAAGATTTTTTTTTATTTACTCAGTCGGAATGGAAATTTGAATGTTGGAAAGGACCCCGCAAATTATTAAGGTATTTTTGATATGATGAAATTCATGTGTGTAATTTCATTCGAAAAATTATTGGGATTATTGTTCTAGGTATAATGTATTTTCTTCAAAACATTCAGTTCTTACGAGTTTTGCTTATGAGTTCACTATAGGTGTTCTACAATGACATTCGTTCACTCCATGAGGTGATTCTTCAGATCAGAAGTAAGAAAAAATGCTTCCTTCAACATTATGTCAGAAAATGCTTCCTTAGGGTTCTACAGTAATTTGAAGGTAGGTCCTAATATGCAGTTTTCTTCATTTATACTTGTTGCCATCGATCCAAGTAACGCTAAATTCTAATGGATGGTACTCAAGGGTAATTTGATCTTACAAATCGGTTCATGGTGAGGAGAAAATGATATGGTATAAGGGGAGCTGCGAAACTCGAAACCGATGGTATAAAAATGGTAAAAAATGCCCCAATCTTGATGGAATGGCGTTGAACGTAACGTTTTCAAGAAATTATAATTCTTTATTTTCATGCCCGAAATAATTTACAAAATGATTTTGGGCGCTAGCTCTTATGATAAAAAAAGTGAGGATTGATAATAACAATCTTGCTCTTCAGGTTTATTGGTTTCAGAGGATTCGAACGTGATGTTTATTTGTTGAAGAAATATCCGCAATGGCGGAATAGTACCTACTACAAACTTATTCACTAGGTTGATTTTGTTGTTAATATCAAACTGAAAAACTACACTCCTTCCGAAAACGGTTTGTTTCACGATATTCTAACAAGAGTACTTTGGGAGTTTCGAATCATATTCTGTACAACGAAACGACTTAGGTACGGAAATTGACGATTCTAATATCGAAGGTAACAAGGAACACTGCGTTCGAGGACTTACTTTCGAAGGGCTGTAGTGCCCTTAGGCAGCATGTTTTGACACATGTTGATAAAAACATGTCATCTTGCTTGAATGTGTAAACTCACCTCCCAGAGTTTTTCTGACACCCTGTATAGGAAATTTTCAGGACTAAACCAATTTGTTGATACATCGATCTGTATTTTGGATTCACATTCCTACTTTATAAGTTCATTCGAGATCTTTGCATGATCATGAATTATGATGAAGATATTGATTGTGACAAACGAACGAGTGGGCATTTCCAAGACTGAAAATATGAAATGAATATTTTCAGTATGTTCGATCAATATTCAACTTCACACATCTATCACAATGCTATTATTCAGTGATATCCGAATCTCATGTCAATTTGAATCTACCTCAACCTATCGCTGTTGTACAGTCATACAGAAAGCATTGATCTCAGTTCCAGAATATCTTCTGTTATGAGATCCTTGAATTTATCATCACTCTCGTACGCCTCTATTATGACCTTTCCACGATCTTCAAATAGTAGTCTAGAAAACGTTTCTTCAGATTGGGCTGCTTCATTGAACTTATCGTCTGGAATAAACGTCATGGCTCTATCTACAATTGCTCGAATTTTTGCTGGAACGCTGAAATATTCAGATGACTTTCTGAATTCTTGTTCGCTCAGAATTTCCGACGCTTGGAAACCTTTTCCTTCCAACAACCCACTCAGTGTATCATAATAATATATCAAGAGTTTCTGTTGATATTTGTCTCTGAAACTTTTTCTGGTATTCGACTGGATAAACGACATGACGTCGAAGGCTGGTGGACCATATGCAACTGTTTGGAAATCAATAATTTTGCACCGTTCAATCTCATTTCTCTTGTCGTATTGATACAAAAAATTGTTCGACCATAAGTCGCAGTGTATTATCGTTGATCTGAAACCCTGGCTATACTTTTCTTCGCCCAATAACCTATTCGATTCTTCTTGTAATGCTTTCTTGAAAGAACTTCTGCTAACCCCATTTTCTGGTACAAGCTCTATGAGATCAAGCATCCCCTTAATAGAACATCGCATGAATTTATTTGCTCCATTACCAACTTTCGTCATGACATAATCTTCTAATACATCCCCATAATCATCTGTTAACTTATATGGCTTTCCATGTTCTTGAGACTTGTAGAGCTCGTACAGTATTGGTTCAGCGTGGAACTTTGCCAAAGTTTTCAAACACATAGTGCAATGTTTGAAATCGAGAGCAACGTTTTTTCCTGATCCACGATATCCAGATTCTCCCAGATTCTCCAATACTATCATGTAAGGTTCACAAAAATAGCTTCTAGTAACATAATCACAATCCAAACGTTTTATCAGCATTGAGGGCAGTAAAGTTTCGTAGTAGAAAGACTCTTTCTCGAAAGCTTTCATTTCTTTGGACATCTCGAACATCACTCGGTTAGATCCATTCAGAATCTTGACGAAAAAGGTGAGTTCATTAGGTGTCTTTCCATTTTCATATTGTAGCTTCAGGATGTACTGTTCGCCAATGAAACCATCCAACTGATTTGATAGTGGTGTCAAGAGGAAAGAAGTTAGAATGTTCTCTGAATTCCGGAAATATCTTGCCAAGACTCTCTCACATTGCAGTCTGGAAATAATTCCGTCAGTATCCATATCTGGAACGAAAAAAATACTCGATTATTCCATATGGTGTTTGAGTGAACTGATAGTAAATGAGAGAGTGCCAAAGTGATCGACTGCCGCATCGCCGAGGGCCGAGGGCCATTACACGCTGGAGGGCTGAATATGGGTATTCCACAAATGGATGTGTGGATATAAGAGACTTGAGAACAGCGGGCGGTGAAGTGCACTTTATGGCCCGTGGGCGATAATAGGCCCGCGATAAAGTGCACTTTACCGCTCGCTAGTGCATAAAATATTTTATGCAGAAATGTCTTCAACATTCGTATTTTCTACGCATAACGTCACTGTCAGTCTGTATTCACACCATGGCGATATGATATAGTAACACACGACTCTCAAATAAGGATCTCCAGGTATATTATTTCATTGAACAATGAGACGCATTTTGACTACGGTAAGGACAGATCATGGTCTCTTTCCGTCTGGTATGCTACTGAATCAAATATTCTACTACTAATCTACTTTGGTATATAATTCGAAAAACATACCAGTTTGTGAATATCACTCATTCGTTTATAGCACTAAAAGTTTAAACCAACATCACGTTTGTGTATACTTTCAAGTAATCATCACTGGGAATGCCAACAAAAAACCTGACATTGATAGGCAATGCATATCGAGGTTGTTATCTCGTAAATTGACCCATAACCAGTTTGGATATTATTATTACTCGTGTCCACAAAATATTCATTGATATTAATTCATAATACAAGATATCTTTATGCATCACATTATCTGTTGCACATTCGGAAATTATGCAACAGAAAAGTTAAAAACTGAAGGAGCGTTGGAGAATTCGTGAGTGTTGATGATGATGAAATCATGATTCGATGCCGCTATGCCAAAACTCATCAAAATTGTCCAAAGTACGAATTCTACCCTCTAAGAAATCGTTAAAATTGTTCATAGGTGCATGGAGGTGAATACATTATTTTCGAATCTTGACGGGTCATGAGCAATATTGAATGAAATGTTTTATCAATGACATTCTATTTTACCTGTTATATGAATATTCCCATCATATACCAGGAATACTTGTGCAAGTACCATCTCAGGAGTTTCACATTACTGATGACTTCAAGGCCAAGTAGTAACCGAAGACACACACGTGTCTGCTGACTCGACATCCTCAGAACTTAGATGCTACATCGTTGCACTGCGAAGAATCAGTTATACTCAAGCCAAGCTCTCATCAACATCTAATTTTCCATTGTACTAATTCCATTCAAATTGTAGCTCATTCAAATAAATTGTTTTTAAAAAGTCTTTAGTGCTTCAAGTGATTTAACAAATTGGCGCAGTCGGTAGGATTCCTTCACATCCACGGAACAAGGGCAGCCTAACCGAGGGTGTTGGATCCTAATCCTTCAAAGGAAGAAACCTACAACCACCCAGAATAGCGACCCACTTGAAAAATCAATCTCAAGAAGCAATCATCTCGGAAGGACGGTCTCTTCAACAGCCGAAGAACACGCGCATGCTAACTTCGCTGGAGCAACGCTTGTGAAGCCGGATTTCATCCTCCAAATGAAAACAATCTACTGGTAAGAACTCAAACGAATCATCTCGCTATTTTTATAATTCCTATTTTTTGTATTTAACCAATTCTATTGTCGATTCAATATTTTCCAATCAATCATGCCTGACTCACCTCCACCAACACCTACCCATCAAGACGAAGTCGAACCGTACAAGTTGAACGAAATTTTCTGTATAGTACCGGAATATGACGGTGATCAAATATTTCTTACAACTTTTCTAAATGCGTGTAATACTGCTTACCGCATGGCGGTTCGCGACCAAAAGTTACTCACAGTTCTCCATATTAAAAATAAATTAAGAGGAAAAGCAGCCGAATTGATTAGCTCTAGAAATCCCCAGACATGGGAAGAAATAAGATCACTATTAAATCAATATTTTGGTGACAGTCGTGATTTAGCTTCTTTGATACAAGATCTTCAGCGTATCCATCAGTTACCTGGAGAATCGCCTCTAGTTTTTATAAATAGACTACAGACGCACAACGCTAAAATGCACGCTTCAATTAATAAACAACTGCTATCCATAGAAGAAAAACAGTCACAATCAAAATTAATTGAATCTATGACTATGAATACTTTGCTCGCAGGACTCGATCCAGAAATAGGACGCATTGTTAGAGCTGGAAACCCTATTGATTTATTCACAGCCACTCTCAGAGTGAAACGTGAACTCCAGTTGAGCTATTTCCAAACTCAAAAATTCCCTAATTCGCGAAATACACAAAATCCAAATCCAAATCAGAACCGTAGAAATGTGACTCCACAAAAAGTATGCACTTACTGTATGCGCCAAGGTCATACAATAAACGAATGTAGGCAACGCCAACAACAAAACTCTCCCCAAACTTTCGGCCCTAGACCTAATTTTCAACCTAATTTCCGACCAAACTCCCAGCCTAATTTCCAACAGAATTTCAGGCCAAACTATCCCCAGAGACCACCACAATTCCAAAATCAAAATAATTCCCAGTCAAGGCCGTCAATTATTAGACCGAACCCAAATTTCAACCAACAAAGACCCTCAACCATTCAACCAAACCCGAATTTTCAAAGATCTAACCCGCAAAGAACTCATTGTGTCAACTATGGTCCCCAAAATTACGAATATGATAATTATACTGCTAATTATCAAAATTTGGAAAATCTCGGAGCAGATGGTTACTCTGTTGATTATCAGGAATACCAAGGTTATAACACCGATACATATTACAATGACTATAGCTCTGATACCTACCAAAATCAATACACAAATCAATATGACCCTAATGATTATTCACAGTATGACGAACAAAATCAATACGATCAGGATTTTCGATTGAGTACGACGTCACGTGCCCCTCCTATCAAAGCGACTTCGGAATCGGTGGACCAAGTTCAAGCGCAAATTCAGACATTGAATTTGGACGATTTCAACCCAAACCTCAACTTCCCAGAACACAAATTTCTATAGATCCTTCCTTTACAGTCAACTCGAAAAATTTATATTATATTAAAGACGCAACAAATAAATTTAAAATCCTCATTGATACAGGTGCCGGACTCTCTATTTTCAAGCCCAAAACTTGTGAAATTTATTCTAAAAGATCTCCTGAAAATGTAATAATACAAGGTATAACTGATCAAAAAATATTGATAAATGAATCCGTATTGATTCCTTTTTCTGACGACGACCCCCATAAAGTTTATGTACACAACATTGACATTGAATTTGATGGACTTTTGGGCTCTGACTTTCTTGAACACTACAAATGTATAGTTGACTTGAAGAACAGACAACTAATCACGAATTTCAAGACAGTACCACTTTTCAAAGTTGACGATTCAGAATCTGAAGACAAAATTTCCCATGACAAAAAATTTGAGAATAAAATTTCACTTGAACCTAGAACAGAACAAATTGTTAAACTAAGATGTAATTTATTCAATACCGATGCTATATTAACAGCACAAGAAAACGAAAAAGTCAGACTTCCTAACGCACTTGTTAAAGTAAATGAAAAAGGAGAATTTTATACTTCAGTATTGAACGCGAACCCAATGGCAATATCAATCGATTTCAACGATCTTCAGTTAGAACCAATAAGAAATTTCGACCTAAATAATTTCAATGTTTCTGACACTAACGTATACATAGACAGAACAAACGAGATTCAAAATCAACTACGCCTAGAACATTTAAACGAAGAAGAAACCGAACTAGTAACAAACCTCTGCTTAGACTTTCAAGACATATTTTATTTAGAAGGTGACAACTTGACATTTACTAACGAAATTAAGCACTCTATTGACACTAAAGACTCGAAACCCGTTTTTACCCGATCCTATAGATATCCACAAATCCACAAAGATGAGGTGAAAAATCAAATGTCAAAAATGCTTGACCAAGGCATTATACGTCCTTCGATTTCACCCTGGTCATCCCCTGTTTGGGTAGTACCGAAAAAACTCGACGCCTCTGGAAAGCAGAAGTGGCGTGTTGTTGTGGATTACAGGAAACTAAATGAACTTACTGTAGATGACAAGTATCCCCTGCCAATGATTTCTGATCTCCTCGACCAACTTGGCAAATGCCAATATTTTACGACCCTCGACCTTGCCTCTGGATTTCATCAGATCGAGATCGATCCGAATGATATATCCAAAACCGCCTTCACGGTAGAGAATGGACACTATGAGTTTGTCCGAATGCCTTTTGGACTAAAGAATGCTCCTTCTACCTTTCAGAGGGTAATGGACAATATTCTCCTGGGCATTCAAAACGAGAGATGTCTCGTCTACATGAACGACATCATTGTTTACTCCCCCACGATTCATGACCATATTTCCCGACTCACCGATGTATTCAAACGACTTCGAAAAGCAAATCTGAAGATACAACCAGATAAATGCGAGTTCCTTAGGAAGGAGGTAGCATATCTTGGTCACTTGATCACCAGTGACGGAGTCAAACCGAATCCATCTAAGGTAGACTGTATCGTAAATTTTCCTGAACCTAAAAACCAGAAAGAAATTAAATCATTTCTAGGTCTCGCCGGATATTACCGCCGCTTCATATCGAACTTTGCCAAAATTTCGAAGCCCCTCACTAAACTACTTCAGAAGGACACCCCCTTCAACTTTGATTCCGATTGCAAAAATTCTTTCGATAATTTGAAACAAACCCTCATTTCGACCCCTATTCTCATATACCCAAACTTCGAAGATACTTTTCTTCTCACCACCGACGCAAGCGCATACGCTATTGGTGCTGTACTTTCTCAGGGCCCCATTGGCAAGGATCTCCCTATCGCATATGCCTCCCGCACCCTTTGTGCAGCAGAATCTAAGTATTCTACAATAGAGCGCGAATTGCTCGCAATCGTATGGGCAGTCAAACATTTCCGTCCATACCTCTTCGGTCGCAAATTCAAATTGATTACCGATCATCGT